CCCCAAAACCCCAAAACCCCAAAACCCCAAAACCCCAAAACCCCAAAACCCCTTTTATACTCTTTTTTGTTGGCATTCAAGAAATAATTATTAATTTAAATATGTCAGTCCTCCCTCCAATTGTAGATGCTGGATATCAAAAATCTGCTCCTTCAGATAAGAGATCAAACGAACCTGAGGATGAGGATAAAAAGAGTAATAATCTTCTTAATTATCATACCTCAAAACCACTTCATATCCAATCCAAAACACAACCACTGCACATACATTTAAATTTCTGTGCTCTAGAATTCCACAATAAACCTCACCATCCGCTCAAAATTTCTTCTGTCCTCCTTAAAAATTCCAGACACCGTACAAATTTGCCCACTCTCATAATCCCATGCTTCAATGAGCTTCAGCCTCAAAATACAATTTTTTCAAAATGAATTTCAATCAGTGACCTCTTACATTCAAATTCCTTATAAATTTCAAAAATCCTGTAGTACAAAACTTCTTCAGTCCTTAAAGACCTGGATTTCTTCATGATTTTTATACATAATCTTTGAGGTTTGGGTCTCAGTTGATAACCTGTACTCCAGCCTTCCAAGAGAGAGGGGATAAATCTGAAATATACTCAAGCAAAGGAGAAGACATCGATGAGGAATCCAAGTTGTACCAACAGGAATTAGATAATGACATGCCAAGTAGATTATGGGCTTGTAACTTTTAGAACCAATTTATTCAAAGTCTAAGCGGAAAAGAGGGAACAAAGTTGCTCCGAAAGTTATTTCTAGTGTACCTGATTTGAAAAATAGCTCATCTATAAGAAAGAGAAAGGAAACTGAGTTGGATGAAGAGAATACACGCATTTTTGAGCTGCATGAGGATAATGAAGGGTATCCTTCGAATTATATAAAGACAACGAAGTATAATATATTTACTTTTGTGCCAGTTTCACTACTAGTACAGTTCTTCAGGATTGCAAATATATACTTCTTGATAATCTGAATTTTAACCTTGATTCCAACAATTTCTACTCTGACACCCCTGACAGCGATCCTTCCACTAGTATTTGTGCTACTGGTCTCCATGATCAGAGAAGGAATAGAAGATTACTATAGGTATAAATCTGATAAGAAGAGTAATGGGAAGAAAGTTCTTGTTCTTAATGAACATAACAAGTTTGAAAACCTATCATCCAGAGATCTCAAAGTTGGAGATATTGTTCTAATCCACAGTGAAGATACATTTCCTGCTGACATAGTCATGCTTAAGTCATCAAACGGGCCTAATGCTTTCATCCAAACTAGTAGTCTTGATGGGGAGAAGAATCTAAAGAAGCGTTACGTACCCAAAGGACTAGATGAGTTCACAAAGCCCGTTGATGAGCAAGCTTACTTTCTTGGAGGAACTTGCACAACTTTGATGCCTGATAAAGATTTACATGATTTCACCGGGAAGCTTGAGGTCAATAATGTCACATACTCTCTTTCAATCGAGCAACTTATGCTTAAAGATTCAAAACTTAAAAATACTAATTGGATTATTGGCACCGTTGCCTTCACAGGGAGAGATACAAAGGTTATGCTGAACAGCACAAAATCTCGAATAAAAATAAGCAGTCTTGAAAAGCAGCTCAACAACGTCATTGTGTTTCTATTCTTCCTTCAAATTCTAATATGAGCCCTTTTAAGTATGATAATGACTATCTATGATGATGTGAAGGATGATAATCAGGACTATTATTTAGGAAATGGGCACTCAAACGAAGACCCATTTCTTAATTTCTTTAGTTTCTTCCTGCTAATGAGTACATTGATCCCAATATCACTGATCGTGACTCTTGAAGTATTAAAAGTAGTCCAGTGCTACTTCATCACACAGGATGCTCAGATGTTTGATGTTGAGGCTGGAGCTGGCACCAAGGTCAGCTCTACTACCATCAATGAAGAATTAGGGCAAGTCACATATATATTTTCTGATAAAACTGGTACACTCACTCAAAACATTATGGAATTTCGATCTCTCCTATGAGGTAAGGAAACTTATGGCCAAATTGGCAAACCAGGAGCTACAAGAAAGCTATCTAATGTTGAAAAAAAATAAGGAATTAGAGACTAACTTCAAATCAAGGAAGCTTAACAGAGTATTAAGTGAACCTAAAGAGGAGAGTAAAGATCCTCTAGTAATTTATTCAACAAATGGTAACACAAAGATGGAACTCTGATCAGAAACTGAAAAGGTTCAGGAGCTGATCAAACTCTTATCAGTCTGACATGACTGTGAAGCTGAAGAGGCTGTTGTCGATGACAAAAATATCAAGTTTTACCAAGGGGCCTCTCCTGATGAAATTACCCTAGTTGATTTTGCCAGAGACCATGGATTTGAATTTGATGAAGCTAATGATAAAGCTATTTATACAAGTATAAATCCTGAGTCTGGGCTTACTGATGCTCCGGTGAAAAAAGAGTACAAGATTCATAAGAAGATTCCCTTTACGAGTGACAGAGCGAGGATGAGTGTGCTCATCACTGACCCAGATGATGGACAATATAAGCTCTACATCAAAGGTGCAGATTCTAAAATAAAGGCTCTACTAGATCCCAAGCAGAAAGATCCAGATGCCATGCAGAAGTTGGAACAATTCTTAAACAAAGCTTCTTCACAAGGTCTCAGGACCCTTCTGATGGCTTGAAGAGTGCTTGACCCTGAAGAATTCGACAAGATCCAGAGCGACCTCAGAGAAGCCGAAGCTGATGTGGTAAACGCAAAGGAAAGAGTAGCAGAGATCTCAGAGGAATATGAAAAAGGAGTAGTCCTCCTAGGAGCCACTTGTGTTGAGGATAAGCTTCAAGAAAATGTCTGAGAGACCTTGGAAGATTTTAGAAGAGCAAATATTAAAGTATGGATGCTTACAGGAGATAAGTTGGAAACAGCTAAGAATATCGGGTTTTCATGAAAATTGTTAACCAAAGAGATGTTCATATTTCAAGCTCAAGGAGCAGAAGAAGCAAAAGAAGTTTTCACCGAGCAAAGAGTTAAGGATAATCAAGATTTAATGAAACAAGGGAAACCAAGAGCTATAGTCTTTGATAGTGGGGCTCTTGGACATTTATTTGCTAATCCTCAATCATTGCAATATTTTATTTCTATAGCTAAATCTTGTAATGCCGTGGTGCTTAGTCGTGCTAGTCCAGCTCAGAAGGCTGATATTGTAACTTTAATATCAAAAGACGACCCTAATAACATTACACTATCAATTGGAGACGGAGCGAATGATGTCCCAATGATCTCCGTAGCAGATGTTGGAATAGGAATTTTCGGAAAGGAAGGAGTGAATGCTGCTCAAGCAGCTGATTTCGCTATTCACCAATTTAAATACATCTGGGACCTTGTTCTATATCACGGAAGGTTTAATTATATCAGGAATTCTGAGCTCATCCTATACTTCTTCTACAAAAATGTTATATTTACGATTCCACAGGTTTATTTTGCATTCATATCTGATTTTTCAGCTCAAACTATTTTTGACGATTGGTACATCTCATTCTACAACTTGTTCTTTACTTCTATGCCTATCATGCTCAGATCTATTTTTGAGACTGATATAGACTGGCAGGTCTGGAATCGGAACCATAAACAAGACGCTGAGGATCATAGAGTCACTAAAAGAGAGATTATAAGAAACCTTACTCCCCGGCTATATTACATAGGCAACAGGAAGACAATCTTTACGTATAAAAATTATGCTATATGGCTTTGAATCTCTATCACACACAGCATTATTGCTTTCTTTGGGACATTATTTTGCTACCAAAATGCTATCTTCAATGAGAGTGGGAAGACACCTGATCTATGGTCCTATAGCGTCTGAATGTTCTTCTCAGTCATACTAGGAGTCTCCATCAGATTAATGATAACACAGAGGTTGCATAATGTGTTCAATATCTTAAGTATTTCGTTACTAAGCATAATGCTGTACTATACTTACAGTTGGGTGTCGAACCTTACAAGCTTCAGTAAGACATATTTAACGAGTGAGCAGCTACATACTTCGCCTCTGTTCTATTTGACAATCTTCCTGTGAGCCGGGCTGATCTGAATACTGGACCTCTTCCAACAGAGCATTCTTGTCAATCTAGTTGGGAGCCCTTCTGAATACATGAGAAAAGTTGCCAATAATCACAAGGATTTCTCTGAAGGTTGGGAACTAGAGTTCAATCGCCTTATGAGAATTAAGGAACAGAAATACACTCTTCAGGATATTAAGCATGAAAATATTATTGGTAAGAATTATTTTATATTGCTTTAGCAAAGAAAAGAGCTCAAAGAATGGCTGATCTCCAACACAAACTAGCCAACAGAAAGAAGTAGCTGTTGGTATTAACTCCAAAGAGTCAATTAATGCTAGCCATTATAGGATTAATTCAGAGGGGAGTAACTAAATTATTTCATATTTTGAAAGCCTTTGAAAAATATTCAACTACCTTTTGGCCAAAATGTAATTTACAATGTAGTAGTTATGTTCGAAAGCTATCAAGATCCCAAAGACTTTTAAATATTTAATTAAAAACATTTTGCTCCTCAGTTCTTTAGTCTGACTGCACTTTAAGTTGCCAGTTTCTGTAATTTATAGGCGAGTTAACTAAGATTATTCTCAAAAATGTAGAGCACTATGCTATTCCAAACTCAACACTTTTTGAATTTCTCATTCAGCATCTTCTCATATCAAAAATATCTTTTATATAGATATTTCAACGGAATAATATCTTTTAACCAACGAGTTGTAGTCCCCTATCTTCTGGATATAACTAACGATTCTCCCTCTTCAACTTTAAGTATTTCTGTTGGAATCTTTGCATGGCAGAATTTGGTTTGCACAGTATAAATTTCAGTCGTTATTTACAATTAGGGGTTTTGGGGTTTTGGGGTTTTGGGGTTTTGGGG